AAGAAGGAAGAAACGACCAAACCATTCTCACTTCATTTTAAAGGCAGCTGCCTGGTACCCGACCAGGCAGTTGCATCGCAGCAATTGTGTGTCTGCCATTCTGCAGGTCACAGCCACCCGCATGCACACACATGGACACACAAGCACGAACACGCAGTCAAACTACACAGAGTTTCCAGAGAGCAAACTGTGTTTCTAGTAACAAACCACAGTCTGCCTCTAGGACGTGTGAGCAGGCTTTGCCCTGAGAGAGAAGGCTCCACGGGAAGTGTTCCTGCCCGGAGCCGGCAGCCCGGTCTCCTCGGGCGGTGGGCAAGCCCCAACAGGATGCCAGGCGGGCTGGCGGGCAGGAAGAGACGCCACTCTGAACCTCTCCCCATTGTAATTTACCAAATCCATCTGGGGCTCCTTTGAGTCGTTTTCTGCAAATGGCATATTTCAAGGGTCCCCATTAGAAAAGGTCAGAGAGTTCACCCTGGCTTTTCATGTTAAAGGAACTTGAAAGAAAAGGAAAGGAAATGTATATTTTCAGCCTTAGCTGTGATTAAGTGGGCTCAGGCCATGAGAACATTTAGATGATTTACATGACGTTACATGAAGAACCAATTAGCCTAACAACTTCCGAAAAATATCTAGCTCAAGAGCCCGTTTATCACAGTGCTTGGGACATGCCAGGCCTCGTGCTAAGCTCTTCCTTAGGATACGGAATTCATCTCAACCTCGCTCCCGCAGTGTGAGGCGGGCTCCGGTGTGACACCCATATTACCCATGAGGAAGCTGAGGCTCTGAGAGGGTCGGTGATTTGTCTGGGGTCTCCCAGCTAGCAAATGGTAGGACCGGGATGGAAACTCAGGTCTGCCTAAATCCAAAGCCAGAGCTCTTTTGCTCTGACCCTCAACGCTTACGAGCTCTGACTTTGTCCTGCAGCCAGCCTCTGAGGACAGCACATGTCCACCTGGTTCATTCGCATGAAGATGAAGCCTCGTTAAATTTCCAGCTCTTACCTGGGCTGCATGAGTCCAGAAGACTCTGGGGCCTCCCTGCAGCTAGCCCTGGTTCCAAAACTCCCCAGTCACCTCCAGGGGAGCAGCCACAGCAGATCCCACTAACCAACCTGTAGAAGAACCCCAGGGCCTATTGTCTCTGTATGGGATCCGAGTCAGTGCCCAGAGTAGGCAGTCTAGGGTGGGCCCAGGGGAGAGATGGTACAGACTGAGGTCTATCCGACTGAAGGGAGACCCTCTGGGTCCTCCCACCCAGCAAAGGGCTTGAGCCACCCTATATAGACTAGCCAGGGAGATTCCCCAATCTTCCTGATGGCCCCTCCATGCAACATGAGCCACCCAAAAAGTCAGGACTGTATTAGTGACAGCTCATTCATCAGCATTTGTCTGCAAAGACCACAAAGAAGATAAGGACCCCCTCTGGAATTTTAGAGGTACTAATGGAACACTAGAGTGTGGTAGTTAGGGTGTGAGCCCAGGAGTCAGACTGCCTGGGTTTGGAATTCTGACACTCTCACTTCCAAGCTGTGAGAACTTGGGTGACTTACTCAACCTCTCTGAGCTTTAGTTTCCTCATTCATAAATGGGGATAATAGTCCCCATGTCATAGGATTGATATGATGATTAAATGAGATAATGTGTGTGAAGCTCTTGACATGATGTATGGCACACAGCAATCACTCAGTAACATGAAGTCATTGTGCAGATGATGATGATGATGATGATGGAATCAGTGCTGACCAGACAAGGGGCTGCTGCAGGGCGCACCTGACTTTTGGGGATAAGCCTGAGCTCCTTTTCCTCCCTATCTCTCCAAGCCCTATAGAGCCTTCCAGGCCCAGATGAAGTCCGCCTCCTCCAGGAAGCCAACCTGATCACTCCAGCCACATTGATCTCACCATATCTGAGCTCCTTCTGCCCATGGTCTGTATAGACTAATCCAGCAACAAACTCAGCTCTAATAATTCCTCAGCTTCTCAAGCAGCCAATGCCTCCTGGAAAGCAGGACCCCCTCCACTCCCCCTCTCCTCTCCACGGCCTGAGCCCAGAGTTATGTACACAGTAGTGCTCCCTCAGTAGGCCTTCAGGCTGATCTCAGTATGGCTGTGGATGTCTGTGACTCAGCTGGTCTCTCCCTTCCTTACCCCTCCTCACACTCTCATTCTCCTTACTCACCTGCCCCCTCCCCTGGTTCCACCCAGCAGAGCAAGAGGTTGGAGCCGGGACCCCATAGGGCAGTGGTCCCCAGACTTAGGGATTCACAGCCCTATAAAAAGTCCAGAGAAATTTGGAACAGAGAGTGGCCAAGTTTTTCTTTGCCAAATAAGGACGTTAAAAAAAATGAATTCTTACCATCAATTTAGTAAAGAAAGGCTGTTTTCACACCAATAAAGCAGAAAGTTCATAATCTCTGATTAAAGGCTAATACTTTAAGCTGAAAAAAATTTAGCCTTATTGAGAAAAACAAACTACCTCACCATTGCCCTGACTTCTCTCCTTTCTCCATGGATTGGAGAAAACTTCAACACCTACTGGCCTGTGTGCCCTAGGACCTGATGGATCTGGGGACCTTTGTCCTGGAGGAGGCTCCTGTTAAGCTGGCTGTCACCCTCAAATGCAGGAGGACCCCCAAAGCCTTTGGGTTGGGCAGATCCGTATTCCCATTCAGCTTTCCCAGAGGAGGCTCATGTCAAAGACAGACTGGACAACCTCAGGGGCTGAGATGGGGGAGGCCGTGGGCCCCTCCTCCTGTACCTTCTTGCCTCGCCTCCACTCCCGACTGGGTTGCATCGGGCAGGAGCCGCCCCCTTCTCCCCCACAGGGGACGAGGTGAGACTGGGCAGCAAGCTCACGCTCAGGAAAGGAGACTGGGGAGACCTAATGGGCAAGGTCTTCCCCACATCTCCATCGCCAAACTGAGCACTAGTGCAGACCCCACCCCCCAGCCCCTGGAAGGGAGGAAAAGTGGGCACTCCAACCCTGAGGGGGCAGGGCCGAGGCGTCCCGCTGGGCCGGCGCAGATAGGATCTGAATGCGGAGACAGACGGCCCTGGCTCTTTGATCCGCAGCCAGCCAGGCTGGGCCTGGCCCCAGAGGGGCGGCGTGGCCTTCTTCCGCCCAGCTTTGCGCCGCTGCCAGGGGTCCTGTGGGGCTCCGAGCGGGAAAGGCGTCCGAGACACCCTCCCTTCCCAAACATCCTCTGGCTCCATTGCTCCCGGGAGAGGTAGGAACGTCTACACGGAATCCAGCACAGAACCCTGCTGAGGGCTGCGGCTTACTGCACTGCCATCCAAAAGGACCAGTGTCTTTCCTAGATGCCGTGGCTGAGCCGAGGCTAAGCGTGCTGTGGAGGCCCGCGTGGACCTGACCCCTGGTGCCTTGTAGGTGCGGAGGAAGCTGGCGCCTGGTGGCGCGCTCCTCCTATAGCCCCTGCAGCCTGGATCTTGCGAGGGCCCGCCCGCGCCAGGCTCGGAGTCAATGGGCTCCGCGGGAACGCGACTTCCCGGGTTGAGTTGCTTCGGACAACCGAGCCCTCGTCAGAATTCCACGGCCCACGTGTCTGCCCAAAGCCTCGCATCCCCGGGCCGCAGGTTCCAGGCGCGGAACTGAGTTGCGAGAGTCCGGGGCGGGGGTGGGGGTGGGGGCGGCTGGAGGATGGGCACGGGGGAGGCGGGATACTTCCTCCTTATCCTCTTGACTGTGTTCGCGCCTCGGAGCTGCCACACGGCTGAGGGGCCCGTCACAGATGTGTGCTGTATGAGCCCCGCATGCGACAGGCGCTCAATAAATGTGCGAGGGGTATAGGCTTGTGGTTGCGCTGTGTGCGGGCGACCTGGAAGAAGGTCCTAGATTGTCATATGGCTGGAGGATGCGGCAGAGAATTGGGCTTCTAACCCTCCCGGCTCGGGGTTCGAGCACAGCCTCGAGAAGCCCCCAAGCTCTAGGAAGCCCCCAGGTCCAAGCGCCCAGGACGTACTGGGCCCGGGGCACAGACGCAGTTCACACCTTGGCTCCCGTTTCCCCACAGGCCTGGGGACCCGCGCCCTCGGCAGCTGGGGGAGAAACCTGGGCGCGGAGCGGGAATCAACAAGGTGGCCAGCAAGCGGGGTCTGGAGTTTCTTTTAAAAAGAGTCCCCGCATTTCAGGAGAAGGGTGACGCTTTTCAGGATCGTCTGACGCCTCGCTCGGGTTACGCCCGGGAGAGCGAGCCCTTTAAGACTGTGCCCACTGGGCGCGTCCAGGCTCTCCCGGGAGCGGGGCGGGGCTGGCGCGTTGGCTCCGCCCCTCGGCCGGGTCCGCCCCCGGCGTCCCCGCCGGC